ATGTTAAACTGATGACCGTTTAACCACAGTCAGGAAATCATAATTATATGCAATATCTTCCCCACTTGCGAGACGAAACATTCTTTCACCAATTGTTCTCAGGAGATATAGATGATTTGTGACGTTAATTTTTCACCAGTTACCGTCAACTCTGCGCTAGACATGTATGCAAGCCCGGTTCAAAACATAAGTTTGCTGCGGCATAGATTGCGGCCCGCGTGAGTTTCACACGACTCTAATGCGTTTAAAAAAAAAAACATGCGCGCATGCCTCCCAATGAGCGCTGTCAGGGCAAGGCATTTGGTATACATGAAAAACAGTACACATTTATATTTCCGTTCATCCGTGCCACCGTTTCAGCCGTTAACGAAACGGCCTGTTCTCGTTGGTATGCAGCATAACGCTGTAAGAAAGAAAGGAATGAACAGCGGCTTGTGATGTGCTCCCAGGCTGTAGGCGAACACCCAGCCTCGATTATGTGCTATATGGAAACAACTTAACTTGATGCTTGAACCCACAGCTGCCGCGTCCAGTGCTCATCACGCTCGTCACTCGTACCTACGAACGAAATGATTTGGTTCGGTTTAGTTTGGATTAGAGCCCTTCCGTCCAGTGATGACCATTTTAAGGATACGGAATAAGGAAGAGAAGTGAGTAGTGGGCAAGACTACGACCATACAGGTGTCCACCACCGTGATTTACACCACACACAGCCTAGAATATATGTGGACGCTCAGGGCAGCACTACTGAGAACATCCTGAAATATTTCTGCAGCACTCTATAACGTTTTATAACACTGCAACATGGTGAAAAATATTTATAAGACTGTTTCGTACACTGCAAAATCTCATATCGTCTCTTATGATAGGGGTACATTTTTAACAGGGTGCTCGCAGGTGATGTTATAAGCTATGAAATGATGAGGAGTCTCATACGAAATGGCGTATTTTATTCGAGAGTATAAGTGGGAACTCGCCACCAGATTATTTTGGCGTCAGGTCTGGGGCTAAGGGCCCAATTCCCAGCAGTGAGAAGGCCGGGCCCGCAATTTACATTTATCGGGGCCCCTGCGTCAATGAGGACCCCTTTGTCGATCAGGAAACCACACAGCCCAACAAGGGTCCGGTATTTGCAAGGGACCCAGATTCGGTCCGGGCAGTGCTCGAGGGGCCCGCGAGGAACCCGAAGGACCTCTCGGGACCGATAATCAAATGCTTGATTGGAGGGCACGAAGGGCTTTCTGTGGGTTAAATGAAGGATACCGGCCTGCAGAACGGGCCTTCAAATGTCGGTCCGAGGGCCTCTTGCATTGACTGGGGACCTTTGGGACACTGAGGGTCTCCATTTCAGCTAGAGATCACCAACACCCAACAGTCGGCTCCGTGTCGGTCTGAGCCCTGGGAGCCCGTTTGCTAAGCAGGGACACGACCGGTACTCGCAATTAGCATTGGTTGGGAGTTTGGGATCCCTAAAACAATGGGGGTCTTTTCGTCGGTCAGGGGCCACAGTGTCGAACAGAGGGTTCTATGTCAGCAAGAAGCCCTGAGTCGGCCAGGGAAACGTTCGCTGAACTGGTACAGGGACGGAACCCCGAATGCCAGAAGGCATCTTGCGTTGGTCAGGGCCCTCTGACAATGAAGGGAGATATGAAAACTTGTGATGAACGTCCTCAATGAGGTAATGGAGAGACCCTGTGTCAGTCAGTGCCCCCAGTACCAAGCAGGCCCCTCCACTCCATTTCGCCCAAGGGCAATCGAACTGAACTGAGCTCTGTGCCAGTTATTTGACCACCTGCGGCGATGAGGTGTCTTGTTGCGTCAACAAGGGTTCTTGCGCCAATCCGGAACCAAAGTCCTGGACGAGGGGCCTCCGGCGCCAGGCAGACGACGAATGTATGACTGGTCCTTACAAGGGCTTCCTTATCGACGAGGGGACACCGCCCCTTTTTTCATTCCAGCCGGCAGGCACCCACGCTGTAACGGAATGGCTCCCTCGTCCCTGACCTGAAATAGAACGTGCCCCCAGTGTTCTACCCACTAGGCCCCTTGCCGGAAAAGATAAGAGGTTTTCATACTGTCCAAAAGGATGGATCAAAGTGAGATAAAGTTGAGAGAGATCATCAGAAACGAGTAAGTCCATCCTTGTCCATAACCAACTGACAACTTACATAAGGACCTTTGAGTCTGCAATGCCCGCATTCCTAGGAACAAGGATACCGATGGCCGGGGTTCCAGTGTCTATCAACCCAGGTGGCATCAGCTGCTGCAGTTAACACCGGGTGGCGGACGCCGCGCGCACGGGAGCAGCCGTCATAGAATAATGCTCCCGAATATTTATTGTTCAAAACCAATTAGAACCGTTCAAAAATTAGCCTAGGTTTATATTTCAACGCATAATTTCTGTATTGCCCTGTTCAAAGCGACAGAAGCACGACAAAAGAGATTCTATCGTTAGGTGGCTGGTTCCATTAACAGAGTCCAGCAGCAGTTCACGACGCAGTGCTAATCCGTTCCGTTCCGTTAACCCATTGCTCTTCTAAATCGAAAAAATATGCGCGGGTGAAACATAATTTTGAATCATATTTCACGCTTGCAAATCGACATCAAATTTTGTTTAGAGGTACTTCTTTCAAAAGCAAAAACGTTATCGTATTCGTCTGCCCGTTGGCCGCCGTCTCGTGTTGGCTGTGGTCCAACGCCGCGCGGCCTTTTGAGACTGCAACGCCGGGCGTCGGGATTTTTGTTTCACGACTTGCGAACGCACAGTTCAAAACTGTCGTAAAAATTTTCCCTTCTCGGTTCTAAACAAAAGCTGAACATTTTGAGGTGACCATGGATCGGCAGCGTCAATGCAGATGCATGATCCCATTTCAATCTACGAGCTATGTTCCCTATCACCTACGTTGACAAAGTTCTGTACATCCCAGCAAAAATTCGGCGCAGCCCCTGAGTGCTATTGGTTTTTTTAAAAATGTGCGCTGAGTCATGGAAAACGAATAGTGCCGTTGGTTTATTTCATACGATTTTTCATGTTCGGTTCCAGAGTTCGTTGACTTCAAAATATAAGCAAAATTGTACCTTTCGGTGACTTTTGGCTTCTGTTTCAGTTAAAGCTGAACCTTGAAATACAACTAAGCAAATCGTGCGCTCAAAATCAAGCGGGCCAATCACACCATTTCGGGGGGGGGGGCTAGCCTTCAAAAAGCAGGGGCCCTGTCAACCATGTGTCTCTCACCCCACAATGCCAAGGCTCTGGCTGCGCCCGCTGCTTGAGCGAGCTCATCGATAAGCATGGATTATGCATGCAATAGTATTATCGCATGGCCACTGAAGAGCCCATTCAGCTAGCACTGTTGTGAAAGTCAACCTGCATTGCATGTGGCATCGCACTGACATTTACCAATTATCATTTGCCACAAGTTCGAACTCAAGCAGGTGAGGGTCGCTTTCCTGTTTGTTTTTTTTTAACGAGCGAAGAGAAAATATTCTCCAATGGCGGTCATCCGCCTTAGGGTGTTTGGGAAGGATTGATAACCATGTTCTGAAATGGTGCGTGGAGTGCTTCTGCTTTGTTTTACGTTTACTGAAATTCCTCCGTTTTATCGATGCAATTTTGGAATCGAGAAACTGCGTGTGAGCGAGTTGTGATAACCACATGTTTTGTGGATGCTCTATTCTTGTAAATATGTTAATAGAGAGAAGAGAGAGAGAGAGAGAGAGAGAGAGAGAGAGAGAGGATAGAGAGAGAGAGAGAGAGAGAGAGAGAGAGAGATAGAGAGAGAGGAGGAGAGAGAGAGGAGACGAGAGAGAGGGAAGAGGAGAGAGAGAGGAAGAGAGAGAGAGAGGAGGAGAGGAGGAGGAGAGAGAGAGAGGGAGAGGAGGAGAGAGAGAGAGGATGGAGAGAGAGAGAAGAGAGAGGAGAGAGAGATTTATGTATTATGTGTATATATATAATATATATATTATATATATATATATATATATATATATATATATATACATATATATATATATATATATATATATATAATGATATAGAGATAGATAATAGATATAGATAGAGATATAGATATAGATATATATATTATATATATATATATATATATATATGTATATATATATATATATATACATATATACATATATACATATATATATATATATATCGATATCTATATCTATAATATACATATATATATACATATATATATATATATATAGATATATATATATATTATATATATATATATATATATTATATATATAATATATATATATATATATGAATAAATTATTATATATATATATAATTTTATCTCTCTCTTTCTCTTCTCATATTTCATATTCATATTATTATATAATAAATATATATATATAAATATATATATATATATATATATTATATATATATATATATATATTATATATATATATATATGTATATTCATAATATATGTATATATATATATATATATATATATATATATATTATATATATATATATCTATTCTATATATTATATATATTATATGTATATTATATATATATATGTATTGCATATATAGTAATATATATTTATCAATATAATGTGTCTAGGTCGTCAGAGCCAAGTAGGTTAAGACATCACAAGGTTTGTCGTATATGTCCCCTATCGCGACTTTCCGCGACTCATGGCCCACACCCAACCATTTCAACAAATCTGGTCACCCATAGCTCCATGTATGATAAATATAACTTATTATTACAAGAAAGAGCACGAATTTCACCCATGGAATCTTGCAAAGGTTTTATAAAAGATACTTGTACTCTTATGACTTTTTCACCCTGGTTTATCATGTTGCACTTCGTAGATTTTGCGCTTTTACTCTCCCCATTAGAGCATGTGACAAGAAGTTTGACAGCGTCGCATCTCACTGGGATTGAAGTGCACAGAAACACACGTTCTGAAAGCTGTTGGTACGCACCAATACTTCCGTACAGTGTCAGCGACTCACACAGCCGCAAACTAGCTATGTTCTATGGGATCCAACCTGATTTCATTGATGGCGCACATAATACCTTTCTGACACCCGGCGGCATTGTGTGTCCGCCGGTCCGCCCCCGTTTTCGGTTATGTTGAGTGTCTCGTGATATTTCCGCTTATGTTAAAATTTTGTGGTCAGTTACATTTTAATGGTCTGAAACCCACGACTCTCTAACGCTCGCCTGAGTGGTTGCCTTTATTTCTGTTGGATTTAAAGCTCTTTCATTCCTCACTGTGAAATTTAGGGTCAGAGCCTCAACAGAACGCAGGTGCGTAATTCCTCATTAAACCAGGCTGCAGGAAAATGCATGTTGCGCCAAACACATTCAGGCTTGCAACAACATCGCTGCAGAAATGTTGGCTCATGAACTGTGGTGCATAGAATGCCAGTGTTTCAGGGAGTTATGATATTCTAGAGATAAATTGTGTCATGAATGTTCCTTAACACTTCAATCAAAATTAATGTGAAAATCCAGCACACATGCCCTGAGCTGAGTTGGGCGCACGCTTGTGCAGCTCTCCTGTGTGCCCTGATGGATAGGTTCCGAGGGGTGGATGGATGTTTTGTCGACTGGTTACATGGGAGGTATAGCTGTGGTAGGTATGTTCTCATTGTGCCTACCACAAATGTGTTTTACACAGGTCTGTGTCTCTAATGATGAGGAAAATATTAGTTAATTATTATCATGGACAAATAAGTATTATGGAAATGTTAATTATCATCATAGAACAAAAATTATCAAACTGCTTAACCCATAACCCAAATATGACTCCTTGTCTTATGGACGAACTGTAACTCTGGGGATGCAAGCATCGCATTCAGGTGTGGTACTACCATGGAGAACAATGAATATGGCAACCAGTTGCCAAATGGAAAACATCATCCACAACCCCTCAGAATTTCAGGGGCCTTTCATGATGATGGGGGCCAGAATAACAGCATAGAATACTGCATTGAATCAAAAGTAACAGTTGTGGTTAGATGAGAGGCAGTATTTGTTTTGTTTGACACTAGATAGTGAACTCAAGGTCCTGTTTATCAGCTTTTTATAAGGAGGCTCCTGGTGATCCAAATAAAGTTCAGTCATGTATGCAGGAAACCCATGAAAACATGGAGCCCTATCAAAAACCCTGATAAAAAGACAAACAAGTAGGCTATGATAAGAAACACTGGAGGCACAAGCAGATTGGTTTGTTCAGCCATGTTTACCAACTGTAACCAGTGCTTGATGTCACCTGACCTTTAATGCAATGACTTGCACTGCCTGCAAGTCATACTACTCAAGGGGAAATGGGGAAACTTAAAGAAACTCCCACCCTCCTCACCATGTGTAGATAAACAGAACCCTGTGCTTTTATCAACTGAACTATGTAGGTGGATGTTCTGAGGCTAATTGTCACCTGAAAGACATTGTTTATGCATCACAGAGCCAACAAAGTGATGACAACAACTTTGCATGAATTTGGTTCATTTTGGGTGCCAGTAGTAAGTTGAAATTTTGCCATCATATTATGCATGTGACTGGACTTGTGGTGCATGCTTCCATGAGTGCCTTACCATTGTTGGGAACATTGTGGCAGCACAACTGTAGGAGCAAAGCATTTGTATTCCCATGATGACTATCATGTCATGAGCATTGGGTTTATGCATCTAATGCAGTTGTAATTGCACACATTTGACAAATGATACCCTAACTGTTTGGGTGTTGATAAGCCTGGGCCCTTTCCAGCCATGAGCCTGGCAGCCGAAGAGTTTCACACGGAGGCCGCGCTGGCGAGTGGCAGCTCTCCGTACCGGGACGGCACCATTGACCTGCTGGCCGGCTCCATGGGCGGCGTGGCCAGCGTGCTGGTCGGCCAGCCGCTCGATACCATCAAGGTGAAGATGCAGGCATTCCCCGAGGTGCACACCAACCTAGTCAGCTGCTTTCGCACCACGTTCGCGGGTGACGGGCTGCGTGGCCTGTACGCTGGTACTGTACCCGCGTTGGCCGCCAACGTCGCCGAGAACTCGGTGCTCTTCTGCGCCTACGGCTTTTGCCAGAAGCTGGTGGCGCGGCTGACGCGCACGCCCGACGTGGCTCAGCTCTCGGTGGTCGGCAACGCGTCGGCCGGCTTCGTGGCCGCCTTCTTCTCGTCGTTCACGCTATGTCCGACCGAGTTGGTAAAGTGTCGGCTGCAGGCGATGCGGGAGACGCATGGCCGGCTGGATGTGGGGCCGTTCGGGCTGACGCGGCGCATCCTGCGCGCCGAGGGCGTGCCCGGCCTCTTCCGCGGCCTCACCGCCACTATGGCGCGGGAGATGCCCGGCTACTTTTTCTTCTTTGGCGGCTATGAGGCGACGCGCGCCCTGCTGACACCGCCCGGCGCCACCAAGGACGACATCGGCGCTGCGCGCACAATTGTGGCCGGCGGCGTCGGCGGCGTGCTGCTCTGGGTCGCCATATTCCCGGCCGATGTAGTCAAATCGCGCATCCAGGTAGAGGGTTCCCGCGAGAGTATGTTGAAGGTGATGCGTGCCATCCTGCGCCAGGAGGGCGTTCGCGCGCTGTACAACGGCCTGGGGCCGACTGTTATCCGAACGTTCCCCGCCACCGGTGCCCTCTTCCTTGCCTACGAGCTTACCAAGAAGAGCCTGCATGGTCTGTTTGGCTAACGGCGCAGATAGTTTGTAGCATGCGCAGATGGCCGAACGTTTGACTTTGACGGATACGCGTAGACGGTAAACTCGAGCCGTGTAAGGTAGGGCATTTGAAGCATATGACGGGTCTGCTAATACTCAATGCACAGGGTAACATATTTACCAGCCAATGGTTGTTTTACGTATGTACCTTAGAGTAGTTTTATCGCTCACTGACATCAGTGGAATATTTTACACGTAACTAGGACCCCTGGTGATATTGTGTGCAATATGCCATCTTAGTGTAGCCTGAGTGCTTCTTACATATCGCCGTTCTTCCAGCGACATCAGTCTTCCAGTTGAAACATGCGATAGGTCGGCGTTCTGCAAGTGTCATGGCGTTAAAGCATGCGCGCCATTACATGGTATTTAAGAAACCTTGTTTAGTGGTTTTGAATGCGCAAAATGCCCAGCTTCGAAAGCACTTAGTAGCATTCAGTCATCGTCATGTTCTTCGTAGCTTCCATGACGCGGATTGTTGTTTTATGCACTGCGTTGTTCTGAGACAGTGCGTTGTGGTGTGAACAAAGGCTTCTCTTACTGGGTGACTGCGAAGCGGTTTGTGCTGCGAAGCTCGATTTGCGTTAGCGCTCATTTTGCGTTAGTGCAGAACTCAAATATATGAATGATACCGGCGTGCTGGTGGGGCAATACAACAATGATGTTCCCAGCTCTTTTCGCTGGCAAGGATCGTCTTCTTCGTGGAAATAGCGTAGAGTGACGTAAAAGGCGTGTGGATCATATCCCGCGTTCGAAATTCCAGGTTTGCCTTTCATCTGGCTTCGGATTGAAGATGCGAAACCTCTCTAATGTATGACGTAGACCTGAGGAGACTGCGTGGGTGTGGATCCGCCGTCCCTTGACCAGCATGCCTCAGCTGCGCCGCTCCGCGTGAGACTGCGTGAGTGTGGACCCGCCGTCCCTTGACCAGCAGGCCTCAGTTGGGCCGCTCCGCAGATCTATGACTCAGGGATTCACTGCGTTGAACACAGCATTTGCTTGGATTGTTCTGTTTTTTCGGCGTGAAACAGCAGCTGTAGTCCGCTTGTCCTGGACCGTGAAAAATTTCATCGCTCGGGAACCTGCCGTCTTCGTCATCACACCATCCGATCGTGAAATTTCAATTCAACGACAGCATTTCGTGACGAAGGGTTAACGTTTCGCAGTGTTCGGCACGGTTCATCCGCCCTCTGACCACATGCGACCTTAGCTACTATCGTCGGGTGTAGACCTTCCCACCCAGAGGCAAATAGCGAGCACCGAAGGGACTCGAACTTACGCACCCCGCCGCGGATGGGATGCGAGTCAGACGCTGTTCCCGATTGAGCTCCGGGGCAGATGAGGCTAACCTCCTCTATAGGGACCCTGTTGTTGGAACTTGGGAACCTTCTCAGTAAGGCACTCATACATAAATTTTCTTTACTCAATCCAGCCACTACCCATGGGGCTATGCGTATAACCAAACACTGCTCATTTTGCTATGCTCACATTCAACCATTAACCATCCCTCATCCTAATCCTTCCCCACTTCTTTCGTACTCGCTTGCATTTTACAGGGTCTGGGTTCTAAAAAATGAAATAAGTACAGGAAAGCTCATGCTCGGACGTTACTCTGTCGAGTTCATATTACCAGATAGTGTGAATGGTGCTGCCTGCGAGGCTGCGACATGCTACGCGCGAGCAGTAACATTGAGCAGCATTTCTTGAAACACATACCCGGCATTACGTAAACGTATCACCCATACCCATAACAGCGATGTGCGCGGGGCCGGAGATCAGACGAGACCAGACGGCACTGCACGGGACCATAGGGGACCGAACGGGATCGGGCGGGACAGGATAGGGCCAGACGCACTAGACGGGATCAGACAGGACCGGGCCAGATTTATGGGATCAGATTGGACCGACGTGACTGGGCGGAATCGGACGAGACAAGACGAAGCCATGCGAATATGGACGGAACAGGACGGAACCATGCGGATATGGACGGAACTGGACGAGACAGGATGGAACCATGCGAATACGGACGGAACCGAGCCTTATCCCTTGGGGTCAGATAGGACCAAGAAAAAGGAGACGGGATCGGACGGAAACAGACGAGAATAAACGGAATTGGCCAGGATCTTAGATCACTGGAAGGAACCAGGCGAGGTTCCGCAGGACCGAACGACACCAAGATCGACTGCATCCGGGAATGAAGCCAAACGGGACTGGACAAGGTCTGAAAGGACCAAATGAAACCGGACCAGCCCGGGTCCCGTCTGGCTTAGTCCCACCTGGTCCGTCTGTTCCTGTCATGTCCCGTCCGGTGCCGCCCAATCTGTCAGATCCCGGCTCCGTCCAGTCCTGTTCAACTTGGTCCGGTCTCGTTCGTTACCGTCAAGACACATCTGGGCCCATCCTGCTCCATCTGATCACTACATGTTCGGTTCTGTCTGGTCCAATCCTTTATCGTCCGGTTCTGTCCAGGCCATTCTGCTCCGTTCTGTTTCTTTCGGTCACGTCCATTGACATCTGGTCCCGTTCTATCCCATCCGGTCACGACTGGCCCTGTCCGGTTCAGCCGGTCCCATTCGGTCCTGTACGGATTTATCTGGTCTCGTTCGGATCGATCCGATCCTGTCCGGTCTCGCCTAGTCCATCTGGTCTCGACGTCCGGTCATGGTGCCATCCGGTCCCGCCTGGTTTCATTACGCACCACGCGTTCCCATCCTGTTCGGTTCGGTTCCGCCCGGTCTCATCTAGGTCGACCGGTTGCGGCATGTTTCAATTTTTGGTGTGAAATTTGGGTATCATGGTTGATCTGTGAAGGCCGTATATTTGGTGTGCAAATTGTATTCCTACGCGTTTTTGTTCTGTCACCGTGGTCAGCATGCATCCCGGGGTAGTGGTCCGAGAGCTAGAGGGGTTAGGAGGGCCTAAGCCCGCAACTTTACAAAGGTCCAGCATTGGTCCTATGGGCGTTGGCTATGAGAAATGATAGAAATGGCCACGCTCCCCTTAACTTGGAGAAATACCCTCACCTCTGCCAAGGTCGTGTAATAGGGCGCGATCACCCTTGGATTTTTTCGGCACCTTTCCTTCACTATTACAGTGACGTCACAAAGTCGCAGCCCGGCATTACCGCGCCGCCTGCATTACCTTCGCGTCTGTTACACCGGTGCACCTACTAACAAATGCATCTGGTGATCGCTACAGGGCGTTTCAAGAAAAACTATGAGAAAATATGATAGGTGAATTTTTTGCCACGCTGGTGTATGACCGCGAACATAGGCCTAGGAACCAGGGGCCTGCGTGCCATGGCACTGACTTGCTGAGGACGCCGAACATTGAGGCCATGGCGATGCATTGGAGTTGGCCAGCCTAAAGCTGCTTAAATGTAGACTGGCGAACCCGCCCAAGGTCCAGCCACTGCCAAAGGGGAACTGAGCGGCACCAGGGTCATCATCCGAACTGTTGCACTGAACCTCAGCGCTATACATAATGACACGCCAGGTTGCAATGGCGTGCGATTGAGGCAGTTTGGCACGACGAAAGTGGTGTGCTGCCTGGTAGAACATAGGACATGGTGGACATTGCACATTGCGTCAACTATGCCACGAGGCCTTCGAAGGTCGTGGCACGTGGCGTTATCAGGATCATATCCGTCAAGCCACGTAGTTAATTCATCAAACACACGTATGACTCATAATTCACCGTATTTTACTAAAATGATTCTTGCGTCTAGCATATACTTCATTGTGCACACTTGGCGAGGACACAAAGGTCACAAGGGGCGGGGGCGGGGGCGGAGAAGACACCTATAGATTTTTCAGCTCAAATTGGAGCTATACGACACGATAACACGCCTGAAACAGCCCAAAGTTCATCTGCAAAAGGACCGTCTATGCCTCAGACCGACATACAAGCACGCAAGACACAAAAAAGAAGGTACAACGATGCTCACTTAGGCTCACTTATGCTCACACAAGCACAACGATGCTCACTTAGGCTCATTTATGCTCACACAAGCACAACGATGTCCACTTAGCGCTGTCCACCTGCTGTGGCACCTGTTTGGCTGCGCGCCTGGCAGCAGCCCACTTAGCTCTAGCCTGATTAAGCTATCTGATGCGCAGCTAGATGCGGGTCGCCACCAGCTTCCGAGCGATCCACTTGTTCAGCACGGGACTTTCTCAGAAGGAGCTTTGTGAGGCGGTCGACGATACCAATATTTCGGTCCGTGCCTCGGCCCATCACCAACTGGAACATGATCTCGAAAGCCCCGACAACACCCCACCCAGGCCGGGCAAAGGTACCATCAGACCACCCCTAGCTAATCATGTGCATCCAGCTGTCTGGCACACAGTTGGGTGGTGCCTCTCGGTCGACATTCCCATCCTTGGATCGAGGTGTCCGCACTTGGCCGCCACAAAGCCAGCAGCGAAGGCCAGCGCTCCGTGCTCGATGTTGACCTCGTCCATCTCGTCGCCGCAGCGGGGGCCATTTTGGGTTTCTCTCGCTGTCACCGAGTGCGAAAATGTAAAAACAAAGAAAAGGAGATATGTAGGATTAAAACTGAGCAAGAACTCTCGTAGGGGTGCCGGTAGTGTAGTGGTTAACACGTCTGCGTTAACCACTGCGCGTCTAGGAAACCAGAGGTACGGGGTTCGATTTCCCGCGGTGCCCGCCCTTCCTACCAGGGTGAGAGGCAGGCGACGCCATATAGCCTCAGCAGCTGAGTGCGTCGTAAAGCCCCAATCACACACGAAAACACACACAAGAACTCTCGTGCCCTCAGGCGAGGAGGAGTATGAGAAAGACCATGAACCCCTGTCCTGAGGTCGTATGCTGCAACTGTCCGTCACCCAAGTGTGGCTCCGACTAACAAGCAGCATGATGACCTCAGGGAAAAGGTAGGAAAACTGGAAGAAAAGGTGATTGAGATGATTGCTCTGCTCCAGCAGCTGCTGATGAAACAGAGTGCCCAGGGGAGTACCAGGGGAGGGATGATAGTACCAGACCTGTAGGTAGATGGGATGAGGAAGTTGGGGCGGATATTATAGTGGAGGGGCAGAAGGACACTCGAAAAGATGAGCAGGAAGCCTCTGAGGGGGGGGGGGAATGCTGGAGAGGTTCAAGTGATGCAGAGAGATGATGTAGGAAGTGAAGGAGTGGATAGGGAGATGAATGATGACTGTAGCATGATGAGGGGAAAATGGATGGGTGGCAGAGAGCGTGTAGGGCAAAGAAAAATGGCAAACAAGAAAGTAACATATCTGATGTACCAGATGACACTACTCCATCACCAGTGATTACCCGAGCAGGGAGACCAACAGAGAGGCCGAAGAGAAATTCCAGCCAAACGAGGTCATGGAAGGTTGACAAACTAGCATTGGAATCGAGTGAATCACATGTTTTTTGTTAATAGCTGACTAGTTATTAGTGATTGGTTGACGGGTATATTGGATATCTGAACGAATAGGCCAACAAGCTCAGACGTTCTACACGTAATTGTTGTCCTCGTGCAGAGGTCATGCAGAGGTCGGTGGTGTTTGTTTTCAACGGTTATTTTAGGTTCATAATGTGGGGATTGTTGTGCGAAATGGCTTCCAAAGTTTAAGGAGACTTAAGTAACGAGTTCCCGGTGTTTTTCGGAGGCAGCTGCGTTTTCGGTTTGGGCAGAGATTG